AAAAAAAGAGAAGAGATCGCGATTAATAATCGAACGTTAATGTACTTGGGAAAACACCAGGTTTCTCTAGTTCAAAGAAAAACAAATGTCCTCAGCAACCCTTATCTAACTATTACAACCTCTTTCGTTAAATATGGTGTTACAAACCTACAAATATAGCAGAAAAGAAATATAGCGACAACGAGATTTGCAGCGATCATTAAACATAAAAACTTCTATCCACGGAAATTGTATCCGCGATGCCAGGAAATTACTCCACGAATGCCTTTCGAGAGTTCGTGCTATTTTGTACACATATTTTTTATACATGATTTTGCAAGGGGTACGAGAAAGGTTTGCCATAAACCAATTTGGACCACACCATTTAAGTAATAATTCCAAGTTTGGGATGGCAGCCAATTAACGCGCAGCGAGAATTTTTTTCTCATTCTTCGCGAGACATCTTAATTTAATTTGATGATGATCTAACCCAACGCAATTAAACTAAAGTAGTCGCAACAAAATTAAAGTTTCCTTGCCTTCATTTTTTATCTTACCTTCACAAACACTCTAATTTCCGGTGCTGGGAAACCCATTAAATAAGGATTTTATTATTTCTAATATTATAAGCGGAATTTAAATAATACTTCAATAAAACTCAGCTTAAAACGGCCTGTCATTATTTTGATGGAGGATAATTCTTTTGCTCATCATTTACTCCTTTCCAATTTATCAGAATTGTTCAGGTAAACGTTTTTACTGTCTGTACTTATTTTGCACGATCAATTCCAAATTTAATCCATGATTTTGGCAACAATGCACACGAAGACTTTGTTTAACCTCAGTTTTAGACAGCAAGTTATTAAGATATATGGTGGCTCTGATAGGAGTTAGAAGTTCATAAAATTTATGATCAGCTGCATGTGCTGTTTTGAACCACAAACCTCGTGCATTGCGAAGAAATTTACCGGCAATATAATGAACCGCAAGAGCGCTCTGTTTAATGAGGTAAAATTTGACGTGGTTTACCCGTATTTCCTATGTTTAACAAGACTTGGCACATTTCCGGTTATGTAGGTACAACGTAACTGTTTGTCGCTTTCGAAAAACCAACAGCACCGCAATGTTGAAAACGTTCCATGTGAAATCACTTCAAAAGTAATTTAAAATTAGTCACATTCCCACACACTTAAACGACAACAATTACCCTCTAATTTTCTCGATAAAACGCACTCAACTCCTTTCATCATTGTTGTTTGTAAACGTAAACAAGTTAAAAAGTAATCGTAAACGAAATTTAACATAAAGTGCATTTCCACTTGCATTCATTTCCGCTATTTGTAAAGATGCAACTTTTGTTAAAATTGTAAAATCCGGCCAACAAATATGAAAGATTAGCGGTTGGACACATGTGCAATCCCATTTTTGACGTCTTACTTCAAATTTCAGTTTTATAAGAAGGTTTCATTACAAATGCTTTTCTAAAAATAAGAAAGTTGGAACTTGCGCGTGCGCAAACCTAAATTTTTGAAACTGGCAATTAGCATTTCTTTAATTCCAAGTGCCTTATGTATAAAAATTTTTTTTCCCATCTAATGCGTCCATAACTAAAAACGTTGGCACTGCGCATAAGCGCAAAAACCGCAAATTTTGAAACTGGCGTTACATTTGCTTTTTATTCCAAGTGGCTATGTATCAAATTTCATATAAATCCCTCGCATAAATAAGAAAAGTTGGCACTGCGCCATGCGCAAAACCAAATTTTGAAATTGCGTTAAATTTGCTTTATTCCAAGTGGCTATGTATGGCAAATTTCATTTAAAATCCCTCCATAAATAAGAAAGTTGGCACTGCGCATGCCGCAAAACCAAAAATTTTGAATTGGCGTTACATTTGCCTTTTATTCCAAGTGGTTATTTATCAAATTTCATTAAAATCCCTCATAAAATAAGAAAGTTGGCATTGTGCATGCGCAAAAACCAAAATTTTGAAATTGGCGTTAAATTTGCTTTTATTCGCAAGGTGGCTATGTATCAAATTTCTTTAAATACTTTTATAATTAAAAAAGTTTTGCAATTCCCGTTTATAAATGGTCCGAGATGCAGAAAGGGCACTGTAAATTTTGAATGATTCGAACTCAAACTTTTAGAGCATTGCGTATTATTTTTTTATTTTTTATTATCCCTTTCTTGTTTTGGGTCCTAACAAGGCATGCGCCCAATTACAGAGTGACCCGCATAATGCCTTTTAGAGGTGCCTCTGCCAGAAAGGTCTTAAGATGGTGCATAACTACTCCGGTATTTACACCATTACGAATTAGGAAACTGGCAGGAAAAAGCAATTTTGGAGTAGCCGGTAGATGCTCGGAACTGGTCTAAGGTAATATCCATCTCCGCCACAGTGAAAAATTTCACCTCAACCCAGGTTCGAACACCCGACCCCTCTCGGATTTATAACCGCAATGCTCTTACCAACTTGGAGCCATAATCCCATTATATGGCAAACGGCAAAAAGTGTAAAAATTATGGAAATGTAAAAAACGGTTTTTTGTTTTTTTTACAAACTTTTTTTTGTAAGCGGTTACAGAAAAAAAATCCTTCCTTGGTAAACAAGACTCGGACACCATAAACGAACGCAATAGCGAAAAAAGTAGAACAATAGCTCTTAAGATAAGAACTTAAGTAGTCGTCCGCAAAACGAGCCGGAGCGGAAACGGACAAAAGTGACCCAAATTAGGCGCATTTTTTTTATTTGGGAAATGGCGCTAATAATATACCTTTACCTAAATTGTCTCGCCGAAATTATTTTTGAATTGTTTAAGATCACATATAACTGGCATTCAGTGTGGCAACCTTCGTTTAAAAATACTTCTTCTATTGCAATGTTCGTAATACGCTAAATCTTCGCACTAATGGTGAGGACTTTAACTTTTTGGCAAAAAAAGAAGATGGACCACGGAACGGTCGTTAGTAACTGCTATATTGGCGAAAATTGAAAGAAAATGCAATTTTAAATTTAGGATGGCAAGTTACGGCGCGCCCTCTGTTGGTCAATTTTTAGAACTTGAAAATATTTTCCAGCGAAGAAAACGCAAGTCTAATAAATTCTCCTCTAGATACGGTAGGGCATTAGATCTCGTACGTTCTTACAGATTTTAAGCAAATTATGCATAATGTATAGATTTTGTGGGCATTTATGTGAAGATCCCTGTTAAGATATTAAATTGCGCTAAACTCTTGCATGAAAATTACAATGTTAAGAAGATGACGATTCGGTGAAATATATAAGACCTATACGTTGTTCAGACTCATGTCAATCATAGACTGACACCTTTTGGAGAACGCCTGTACATTTTATTCGTCCTGTAAATCTGGTTCATTCTCAATATTGTGTTCCCACTGTAACAAGGGTGTTTTTTGGGAGCTTTAGTTAAACGTTTCTGGGAAAGTAAAAATAGATAGGTTTTTTGAAATTTGGTAACTTAGGAGTTACTTTGAAGGACCAAAAACGAATGTAAAATATTTTCCCAAATTGCGCACTTCGGCCAGTAACTTCGTTATTTTTAAATTAGCACCCCTATTTTTATTGTATTTTTGGATTCTATCGTGAAATTTTCAGTTTCTTTTGATAACCTCTTCATGTTCGATATTTCTGCCATTTATGGGTTTTAAGTAAGTTTGACTTTAAGTAAAAAAATGGTCGGATGATAATGTTTTTGAAAACAATTGTAGCATGGCAACCTATTTGTTATCAGTGCATAGAGATATGAATAGGGCTTTCTTTTAGTGCACTAAAAAAAATTAAGTTGCGTACCGACCGCCATCGTATGGAGAATCCAATATTTTTATGAACTTCAAAATAGACTAAAAACTCAGATACAATCAAACAATTTTTCTAGTTTTCAGGCCAACATTAATTTAATTTCGCGCGTTTAAACTTCCACTATTGTTCGTATTTTATCGTAATAGTTTCTAATTCGTAAATAATGACTTTAAAACGCGTTTTGAAATTAATAAGTGCGTTTGTGTTTTACATAGACTTAAAACTTCGCTACTGTAGGCGCATGCCAATTTTTTCCATAAATATATACACTCTGTTTATTAGTGTCACACCAAATATATAAAAGCACAACCTGTGATAAATTGCAGATGGGCGCCTTTAAAACTTACGCTAACGGCTCGACGCGAGTTCGTAATAACACGAAATAAAATCAACCCTATGGTAAAATTAGCAGGTGGTCCCATTTTATCTTCGCTCACTGTTCAGGTTCAATTTTCTAACAGAAATCAAAGCACCTGCGCTAAAATTACAGCGATCTCATCCGGTATAGCCGACTACCCATTTCTGTTCCTTTTTGAGTGACACTCATTACGCGACGAAACTGTTTCCAAAATCAACTAAATTTTTACACGAACAAGCCACGAATACGACTCATGTAGAGTAATTTCCTGTTACACTTCCGCTACATAGCAGCCTCGATAATGACGACTGTAAAATAAACCAAAATCTTCCTGTAATCTGAACTAATCGCGCCAACAATCCCAACGACTCAACCGGTCCCCAAAGCTTTCAACTACCAAAAGTCAAGACCGTGTTAACAAACCACCTCGCCCCACAGAACAACGCAACAAAAATGTAAAAATCTTGTCAAATAATGAGACCGCTCTTTATGACATAAAATCATCAAACATCGAAAAAAGAAGTCAGAATCGGTTAAATAGAAAGTTAAAAAATTTTGTCCATAATCCACAAAACCACGCCTTCGCCCTTTGTACTCTGGGGTTGCGGCCTGATTTGCTCACCGTTTAGTCGCCTAAATGGTTACTTACATTTTACGTGACCGCAAATAAACTTCTTAAGTCTTAGCGGTATTTCCTGTATTTCAATCTGACTGGATCCGATAAGAACGTT